TAATAAATTATGTTTTCTGAGGCTGTAATACATTAACTAATAATGGAATAATTTTCTCCATTATTAATCAAATGACAAATGCTCTAGCATGATTTTTTAAATTATAATTTACTGTATCACAAATCCTCGCTTAGTAAAATAACTTAGAAGACAAAGGTAAGTAAAATGACTCTATTAATTAATCACTGTACCTTTATCTAATGCTAATCCTCCCAACGCCATTTACAACTTCTGACAGGGGTTCCATAACTCCTGGGCCCTCAGAAGAAAAGGCTAGTAACCCAATTACAAAATAGGCAAAAGACATAGAAAGACTTTTCACCAAGGAAGACATTTGAACTGCCAACAGACACATGAAGAAATGTTCAAAATCATTGGTAGTAAGAGAGATACAAATAAAAACGACAATGAGATACCCTCTAACAGTGGCAAAGTTTAGCAGGGCACCAAGCAATAAATACTGGAGAGGATGTGGAGAAGTGGTAACTCTGATACAATGTTGATGAGATTGTAAAATGCTACAACCACTCTGGAAGACAGTGTGGCATTTCCTCAAAAAGCTGAACATAGAAACCCCATATATTCCAGCTATTTCACTACTAGGACTATATCTAAAGAAATTAGAACTAAGACATAAACAGAGATCTGTACACCAATGTTCACAGAAGGCTTACTGACCATTGCAGGAACACTGAAAGAGCCCAAATGTCCAATCACAACTGAATGGATTGAGAAATTGTGGTACATTCACAGAACGGATACCATGGACTCAGGAGCAACAATTTTGAAAAATATTACATAACTTGGGACAGCATTATGCTGAGTGAACCAACTCAGTCTATAAAGACAAATTCTGCATAAAAACATAATTTTAACACTAGAAGAATAACTAGTAAACATGTATGGAGACCTAATGGAGAAATGGATGGGAGGTGAGGATGGGTAGGGGAAAAAACACAGGGTTGAACAGTTTGGTAGGCAGAGGGAGGGAGTGAAGAAAATGGGAAGGATCCGCTTGGAACCTGGAAAGATTGAGTAATGGTGGGGAAGGTCCAACGGTGATTGATTTTATAAAACATAATGCATGGGAATGAAGAACAGTGTGAAACACAATGTATAACGAAGTTTGTGAGCAAACCACTATAAAATTTAAAAATTTTAAAAAATTCCAGTCAGTTCTGTCTTGACAGGCATATAAAGCTGACATTGATCATATTAAAGGTATTCAACACCGTGGATAAAATTACTCATGTCTATTACATATTTCATTAATAAATTGGTAATTCCTTTTCTTACTTTTGATTAAAGTGGAACTTTTTCATGTTTTTTACTATTTTTATGAATTATATTAATTTACTCAAGATATTCTGGTTTTCAGGTTAGTTATTATGGAAATTTTAAATATTGTGTTTGTTTCAAAAGAAACATTTAAGATATATATATATAAATGCTTTTTCCCCAAATATACATTGTGCAGTACATATGGACTCAAATCTGTTCATATTTTCAAGGTTTCTTGTACTTGTCTAAGTTTATCACCAAATTTCTTCTTTAGTTTCTTTTTTTTTTTCACTTTTAGAAAACAAAATATTCTTTAATCCACTTGGAGTATCTTTTCACGTACACTGTAAGGTAAAGAGTGAAACTGATTATTTCCCCCAATGATGTTGATCATTTATATCTTATTACAGAATTACTTTAAAAAAAATAAATGGATGTGCTGCCTCCTTTATTATATATTAAATTTATTTATCATTTGAATCATTTTGAGGATAGATGATCACTGACTTACCTACGTATTATTTCGCCAATTTTATTTCCTTAAAATACTATAGCACTATTTCTTTTTTAAATATGATTAGTCTGACATTAGATTTTCATCATCTAAGTTCCGACTTTGTGTACCTCAGAATAAAACAATTCCCAGATCTATTCCATCTTCACAACTGCTGCAATTTTTGGTCCAATGTTAACAATCATTTTGTTAATTAATTTCAATGTTATTTGTCCTTTAATTAAGAGCATCCATGGTGTGGTGGGGAAAATACTTGATAGCTACCAGAAAGATCAGAGGTTCAAAACCACCAGCAACTCATTGAGAGAAAGAAGAGGGATCTTTTCCTGTAAAGGTTTATAGCTTAGGCTGTGAGTGGGGACCAACAATGGTGGCTATCTCTCCATCCTTTTCTGGCAATTTCTTTTAATTAGCATTCTTTAGCAGTATTTTCTTTGAAACTGCACCTAGTCATTCTATAAGACTAACCAAACTAGTAACTAATCTAAAAGATTAGTTACTAGTTTGGTTATGTTCCATAAAAAAATATTTTTTTCTAGAAGTTACATAAAAGAATAACATTTGGGCATCTTTCCAATTTTTTTCCTTTCTATAACAAAGAATGCTTCTCTACTCCAAAGTTGTTTCTGTTTTTATATTGTTCTTTACATCATAAAGACTGCTAGTCTAAATTGAATGCTCTCTTTATCTTAGGTCCTACCCATTACCTTTTTACTTAAATATTTAAAGTAAATTGGTTTTGACTTTATGGCAGTTTAAGTTTACTAACAGGAAATAATTTTATAAAAAGCATGTGCAAGATTGTCAATTCTTTAATTTCACCATATGAGAAAGGATAATGGTATGTTTTAAACAGAGAGTGTTTTAATTTATACTCTTAGCAAAACACAAATTTGGCAAAGAAGGTAAAATTTAGTTTCTATCTAAAAGCTGTCATATACCAATCTGCCTTTTAACTTGACACATTATCATAAAGCTGTTCTAAAAGTATAGCAGAGAAGTGGACAGTAAATTATAAAAACCTTTTCAAAGAAAAATAAGAAATATTTAATATTACATGGTACTACCTGAGCTCCAGTTGCTATTTCATCAGCAGCTTCATTCATTACTCCCAGAGTTTGGAAGGCAAACACACACAGCTCTCGCTCACATACAGTAGGCTACAAAATAAAAAAAGGAAATCAGGAATTATACTTCTTTTCTTGTATCCCAATTCCTAAATTAAATTTATGACATTCTGTATGATATAGTAAAAACCCACTGAGTCAAATTTGATTCACTGTTATCCAACAGGTTACACATTTGTGAATTCAAACACACTATGTCTTCATTCTCCTGCAGAGGGGTGTGTTGATTTAAATTGCTGATCTTTAGATTAATAGCACACTGTTTAATGTACTATACCACCAGGGATGCTTTTATAATAATTAATATACAATTTTATATTCCATCTTCACAACTGCTGCAATTTTTGGTCCAGTGTTAACAATCACTCTGTTAATTAATTTCAATGTTATTTGTCCTTTAATTAAGAGCATCCATGGTGTGGTGGGGAAATTATTGTTGTTATTGTTAAGTGTCACTGAGTTGTAGATGACTCAGTGACCCTATGAACAAAAGACCTGAACAGTTGTGTAATTTTCATTGTTTCTCCAAGTTCACAGAGTTTCTGGAGGCAAGCTATTTTGGAAGTAGATGCCACTCCTGCTTCCAAGCATGTCCATGCTCCAAACATCGGAGAGCTCCACCAAACACTGTCCATGAAGGGTAACCATTATCACATTTGACACATCAGTTTCACAGTGTTTAGCATCACAGCAACCACAAGTTACCTCTGTACAACAAATGGACAGACCAGTGCTATACAACTTAGAAGAATGTTTGACCAAAACCAATTAAAACCAGGCCTGAGGGCCACAGAATACAATCATAGAAAGTATAAAATTTTAGTTGCAAAACTAAGAAGAAAATTTGATTTACCAAAAAACTAAGAAGAAAACTTTACTTAACAAAAGTTAAATTTCTTAAGTTTATGTAAAAACAAGAAAAAATTTTCACTATAATTCTAATATAGTTAAACATTCACAAGTTGTTGTTAGGTAAGTCAACTGTAACACATAGCAAGAAGCATTGCTTCTACTGTTGTTGGTTTCATGAGGTCAGAACTGACTCATTGCTGAGGCTCCAGAATGTTTTCAGAGACCATTTCTCTCCTACAGAACAGCTAGTGGATTTAAATCACGTGCCTTTGGATTGGCTACACAAACTGGTACCAATAAGTCACCAGAACTCCCCACAGCTACCCTGTGAACAGCAAATCAAAATCCTGCCCTTTCCTGCCCCCTCCAAACTACCATTCTGAGATCCACTGCTGTAAACACTCTGTCAATCCATCTCACTAAGGGTCTCTCTTTGCTGAACCTCTACTTCTATCAGCACTATGCCATTTTCCAAGGAATGGAACCCTGTGACAATGTGCCCAAAGAATCTGAGATGAAGTTTCACCATCCCTGCGTTAGGATGCCTAAGGAGCACCCTAGTTTCACTTCCTCCAAGACGGATTTGTTAGTCCGTAGGATCAGGGCATCAATTCTCCTGTCTTCTTTATTCACTGTGCATAGCAAGCAAATGAAAGCACCATGGGTGACCCTGCTGGTAATTTAAATACTATCAGTACTACTTCCAGCATCACAGCAACATGCAAGCTATCACAGTGAAGCACAATGACAGTCAAGTGGTGGAGATATTCACTTAGAAAAGAGTAATTTACTAGCAGAGTCACAAGTGTTGAAATCATACACTTCTGTTAGTTGAATATGCTTATAGTCAGAATGATTCAGCAAGAGATAAAAATATCCTTAAAAAGAAATGTCTCTACCCCTGAAAAAGATACCAGCTTAAGCTAGTGATATAATAAAATTTGAAGTTAAACACAAAGGCTACATAAAAATACACACACAAAAAGAATTCATTTTTTTTTAATTCTTTGGAAGTAATAGCATGACTGTGTTTACTTGCTACCTAGTTCTTGAATTATTGGTTTTGTTGCAAAGACTTCTGACTTCAATAACTTCCTGAAGTCAACAGCACTGAAATATATACTCTGCAATTGCTTTGGAAGAGCTCTCATCTTTCAAATATAATATGGTGTCATCATTTGATTTATCTTACCTTCTGTGTTACATTGCATTAGGTAGCTGATGAAGCCTAACATGATGCAATCTATGGTGTTGCTGCACAGCAGACAAAAGGCATTTGTTAGTGCCACTGCTCCAAGGCTCATTCATTTCACAGGATGACCTGGTCTCCTGCCTAATCAGTGGGGAAGTGCAGCCCCATTCTGAGTATCCTCTATGGTTATGAAGCCTGATAAACTACAATACTTTCTGGTTAAATTTCTCCAAAAGAATTTAAGGAAATTATATTGATATGTTCCCTTTGTCAGTCTTAAAAGTACCATTTTATTCCAACCGTAGAAACACCAAGAAAAGGATCTGTTAGAGTAAATTAAAGAAAGTTTTTCATACAAACTCAAACTTAAGTACACTGATATATGTATGTACGTGCTTGTATATATAAATAGACATACACCAAAATAAATAGACCTGGAGAAGACTGTTCAATTTCTCTTACTTTTGAGTATTTTATCTGTATATTTAATTTTATGTGAACATCTATGTGAATACATATACATTTTACCCTCAATTTCAATGGCACAAGATTGAAGTTTTGTTCAGTCTTGGAAATCCAAAGGAGAGCACAATGCATTGGATGAACTGAATTGCAGTGAGTTTTTTGCTTAAAGCATAATCTGATCTAAAACAATAATGAAAATAATATATCACATGTATTTCATGTATACTTACTATAGTGTCAAAGATTATACTCTTTATGTATAATGAACTTTCTATTTAAGAAACAAAAATGCAAGAAGATAAAGCCAGGGCCCTAGGAATTCTCTCATGTACCGACTTACCAAAGTTCACTTGGAAAGTAAACAGTGACTCAAAAGTCACTTTGTAATAATGCCAAAAGTATATCCATAAGGGTTGGTTTCTATTTAAACTTTATACCTTCAACTATGATTACTTTGGGATCATGTAAACATACTCTGTACACATACTCTCAGAAGTATAACAACAAGATATGATCTTTTCAACACTAGTTTTGCTTTAAATAATGGAAAATGTGAAATAAAATATCCTGCTAGTCTGTGTTGGAAAGTTTATTTTTAGAAGTGAAAAATTTTAAAATGGGAGTCCCAGAACACTTGACTGTGCTTATATGAAACCTATTTTAATTGTGCTAATGCGAAACCTGTACTTGGATCAAGAGGAAGTAGTCAGAACAGAGCAGGGCAACACTGAATGGTTCAAAATTGGGAAGGGTGTATGCCAGGGATGTGTCCTGTCTCCATACATTTTCAACCGGTATGCAGAGCAGATTATCCGAGAGGCTGGGCTCTATGAGGAGAAGCGTGGCGTTAGGATTGGTGGACGATCTATAAACAATCTGCGTTATGCAGATGACACAACCCTGCTCGCTGAAACTGAGGAGGACCTCATGCACTTACTGCAGAGGGTCAAGGACTGCAGCCTTCAATATGGACTGAGGCTCAATGTCCAGAAAACAAAAATTCTCACCACTGGACCAATCGGTAGCATCAGGATGGATGGTGAAGAGATTGAGATTGTTCACAGCTTCAGTTTGCTCGGCTCCACGGTCAACACTCTTGGCACCAGTAGCCAGGAAATAAAAAAATGTATTGCGATGGGAAAGTCTGCGGTTAGGGACCTCTCTAAAGTACTCAAGAGCAATGGTGTCTCTCTGGAGACTAAGGTGGGTCTGATACAGGTCATGGTTTTTGCAATCACTTGTTATGCATCAGAGAGTTGGACAATGACTAGGGAGGATAGAAGGAGAATTGACGCCTTTGAGCTGTGGTGCTGGAGAAGAGTACTGAATGTACCATGGACTGCCAAGAAAACAAATAGATTGATCCTAGAGAGGGTTAAACCAAGCTGCTCCTTGGAGGCAAGGATTCTGGGGCTTCGTCTGACATAGTTTGGACATGTTGTAAGGAGAGACAGGTCTTTGGAGAGGGACATCATGCTGGGCAGAGTGGAGGGACAGCGCAGGAGGGGAAGACCCTCTATGAGGTGGATTGATTCAATGACTGGGGTAATCGGGATGGGTGTGTCGGAGGCAATGAGATTGGCACAGGATAAAGCAGGGTTTAGGGCTGTTGTACATAGGGTCGCTATGGGTCGCAAATGACTCGACGGCACATAACAATACTTAGACCAGGAAGCAGTCCTCAGAACAGAACAAGGAAGTACTGCAAGGTTCAAAACCAGGAAAGGTGTGCATCCCTGAACGATGTGTCCTGTCTCCATACCGTTTCAATCTATATGCGGAACATACCATTTGGGAAGCTGGGCTTTATGTTTATGAAGAGGAACATAGCCTGGAGAAAAACTCATCAACAACCTACGTTATGCAGTTGATACAACACTGTTTGCAGAAACTGAGAAGGACATGAAGCACTAGTTGCAGAACATTCAAAGACTGTAGTCTTCATATGGACTGAAGTTCAACATCAAGAAAACAAAGATTCTTACTACTGGGCCAACTGGAAGCACTGTGATAGATGGAGAAGAGACTAAGGTTCTTCACAGTTACAGCTTGCTTGGCTCTACAGTCAACACGGTATCAGCAATCAGTAAAGCGAAAGACGGAAACTGGATTGGGAAAATCTGCTGAAAATCAGGGACCTTACCAGAGTAACGAAAAGCAAGAATGTCAGTCGATTTTGAAGCCCTGTCTCACATACTTTGGGCACATGGCCAAGAGAGTGATCCTAGGAGCAGGACATCATGCTCAGAAGGGTGGAGGGACAGTGCAGGAGAGGAAAACCCAGATGAGATGGATTGATACATACAGTAACTGGGGCAACTGGGGTATGTGTGTTAGAATCAGTGAGACTGGCTCAGGACACGGTAGGCTTCAGAGATGCTGTACAAAGGGTCGCTATGGGTTGCAGGCCATTCAACAGCACATAACACCAACAAAGAAAAAATATAATAGACTCAGTTATACAATTTCATTAGCATTGTTTGTGTCTAATTCTAGGTCTTCATATGAACCAAACTTCATCTGA